TGGATCAGTTATAACAAATTTGTATAGAAGATAAGGAAATTGAATATAGAATAGGCTGCACTAGAGGTAGTTTGAACTGTAAAATGATGAGACCTTGCCTTGGTATATGGATCAGTTATAACAAATTTAGTATAGAAGATAAGGAAATTGAATATAGAATAGGCTGCACTAGAGGTAGTTTGAACTGTAAAATGATGAGACCTTGCCTTGATGTATGGATCAGTTATAACAAATTTAGTATAGAAGATAAGGAAATTGAATATAGAATAGGCAGCACTAGAGGTAGTTTGAACTGTAAAATGATGAGACCTTGCCTTGGTATATGGATCAGTTATAACAAATTTAGTATAGAAGATAAGGAAATTGAATATAGAATAGGCTGCACTAGAGGTAGTTTGAACTGTAAAATGATGAGACCTTGCCTTGGTATATGGATCAGTTATAACAAATTTAGTATAGAAGATAAGGAAATTGAATATAGAATAGGCTGCACTAGACCAAGTTTGAACTGTAAAATGATGAGACCTTGCCTTTGGTATATGGATCAGTTATAACAAATTTAGTATAGAAGATAAGGAAATTGAATATAGAATAGGCTGCACTAGAGGTAGTTTGAACTGTAAAATGATGAGACCTTGCCTTGGTATATGGATCAGTTATAACAAATTTAGTATAGAAGATAAGGAAATTGAATATAGAATAGGCTGCACTAGAGGTAGTTTGAACTGTAAAATGATGAGACCTTGCCTTGGTATATGGATCAGTTATAACAAATTTAGTATAGAAGATAAGGAAATTGAATATAGAATAGGCTTTGCACTAGAGGTAGTTTGAAGTGTAAAATGATGAGACCTTGCCTTGGTATATGGATCAGTTATAACAAATTTAGTATAGAAGATAAGGAAATTGAATATAGAATAGGCTGCACTAGAGGTAGTTTGAACTGTAAATGATGAGACCTTAGTGTTGAATAGGTATGGATAAAGTTATAACAAATTTAGTATAGAAGATAAGGAAATTGAATATAGAATAGGCTGCACTAGAGGTAGTTTGAAGTGTAAAATGATGAGACCTTGCCTTGGTGTATGGATAGGTTATAACAAATTTAGTATAGAAGATAAGGAAATTGAATATAGAATAGGAAGAGGTAGTTTGAATAAAATGATGAGACCTTGCCTATGTATATGGACAGTTTAACAAACTAGTAAAGAAGATAAGGAAATTGAATATAGAATAGGCCTTAGTGGTAGTTTGGTAAAATGATGAGACGTTGCCAAGTGTATGGACTATAACAAATTTAGTATAGAAGAATAAGGAAATTGAATATAGAATAGGCTGCACTAAAAGGTAGTTTGAACTGTAAAATGATGAGACCTTGCTTTGGTGTATGGATCAGTTATAACAAATTTAGTATAGAAGATAAGGAAATTGAATATAGAATAGGCTGCACTAGAGGTAGTTTGAACTGTAAAATGATGAGACATTGCCTGGTATATGGATGAAGTTATAACAAAATTTAGTATAGAAGATAAGGAAATTGAATATAGAATAGGCTGCACTAGAGGTAGTTTGAAGTGTAAATGATGAGACCTTTGCCTTGGTGTATGGATCAGTTATAACAAATTTAGTAAAGAAGATAAGGAAATTGAATATAGAATAGGCTGTTTGAACTAGAGGTAGTTTGAACTGTAGAAAAATGATGAGACCTTAGAGGCCTTTGTATATGGATCTTGGTATATGGATCAGTTATAACAAATTTAGTATAGAAGATAAGGAAATTGAATATAGAATAGGCTGCACTAGAGGTAGTTTGAACTGTAAAATGATGAGACCTTGCCTTGATGTATGGATCAGTTATAACAAATTTAGTATAAAAGATTGAATATAGTTATGACAAATTTAGTATAAAAGATTGAACATAGTTATGACAAATTTAGTACAGAAGATTGAGCATAAATTGAACATAGAATGGGATGCAATAGAGTTAGCTTTGCCTAACATCACAAGTTGCTGCAAAAAGCAAAACTTTAAATTAAAAACTTGAGTCATGTTCTTAAATAGTGTAATGGTTAGTGAAGAGACCAATATATGCATTCACAGGCTTGGAGAGTTTGCTACTTGGTAGTAGTATGGTAGCAACAGTAATAGGGTTAAAATTATGAGAATTTATCACATATATACGTACATGTGTTTATCACATATATACATACATATGTTTATCACATATATACATACATGTGTTTAGCTGTAATTTCATATGAACCTTTAGGAGTAAGGAAACTACCATGTGTACTTTAGCTACTGCTAAAAAAAGAGGCAATACAGTAATTATATGCTTCCTCTGAGACACCATGTGTGCCTTTATCATTTTGAGTTTGTTTCAAATTGTTTTACTTATTTGTGTATTTCCTTGAAATGTATTTTGTTATTACATTTCCCCTTGTGAGAGATACATTTGTTTCTAGTTTTTACAGTGTGTTTCCTAAATAAAAGGATAACATCAGTATGAAGCATGGACCTTTTTCATTGAAACTGGAGGTCAGTTACAAATAGCTTCGTCAGATTGTGACTTTCATATGGATGTCATAACTTTCAACAGCAGCAACAACTAAAACAGATAGCACATGTAACTCAAAGAGAAAAATTATGACATAATCAAGATGCTGTCATTCCACACTACTTCAAATAAACGGTTAGGAAGAAAACCCCTTACCAATACTAGAAAGAGCAATAAGAGTGGATTTTTTTAAGAGAAATATTTTCTAAATTTCAAGTAAAATCAGCACTTGCTGCTTGGTCAATGAATGCTGAATGTTTCCTTATAAGGAAACAGCTAATATTACCATTATCATTACAGATGAGGTGCATCACTAGATGTACCTCAATTGGGTATGCACAGTCACCTGTCATGTTTCCTATTAACCTGTCCACTTTCAAGGAGTTAGCTATCTCCAAGTCAGTGTGGTTGGTGGCTAGTGCCATAAACACATCATGTATTTTCATTTCATGAGTCACACTTGAGCTGCCATGTTAATACACACAATACATCTGAAAAAAAGGACAATGTTAAAATTTGGTGCATGCTTAATGATATTACTTCTATTTATGACCTGCAAAAAAAAAGTGTACCTGGTATGCACACACACACACACACACACATATAGATATAGATACAAGTGTGGACATAAACTAAATAATTAGATATTAGCAACTGTATATGCATCTGTTAGCATGCATACATTTTTATATTTACTTAATTTAATATAAGGTGTAAAACAAAACAGTGTTCAGTGCAGTTAGACAGAGCTAAGACGTATATATTAATGAAATACATATATTATTTAAAATTCATTTTAAAGTTTCAATGGTTTTCCCCAAGTCATCAGGCACATGGAACCTGATGACTTGGGAAAAACCATTAAACTTAAGTTGCAAAACAAATATATATATATATATATATATATATATATATATATATATATATATACACACACACACACATGCACACACATATATATATACACACACACACACAGAATTAGGTTTTTTATCCTAATATTCATAAAAACAAGACTCAACAGCAACTCAAAGTAGAGAGTTATTGTAAAAAATTAATATGATGATGGTAGGAAGTGAAGATGATGTGGATAAGGAGGATAGATAACTGTTGACCCTTGATTTGAAGAGGTTAAGATTGTAGTGCTCTGGGAAGCATTCATGTAGCAGTCCATTCCACAAAGTAGCAGATTTTGGAAATAAAGGTTGTCTGAGTGGGACTTTCTCTTTACATTTGCAATATAGAGGAAATAAAGATATTGCTAGAAAGGCTTGTTGACTGGATATCAAAAAGAACGACTGAAAGCTTGAAAGGCAGCAAGAGTTGGAAAAACATGAAAACCATGATACATTGGAAAACTCAGCAGAAGAAAGATAAGGGAGAGAGAAAGGATACAGTAGACAATATTTGTGTATTCCTTATTCTTTTTTCCTATATGAGATTAATGCAAGTTTGTATGACATTTAGATAAAGATAAGCAAAAAAGATTGGAAAGATGAGAATGCAAAAGTTACAAGGAAAGAAGAGCAAAGGCATGAGATAATGAATATTATTAGTTGTTAAGACCGGTAAAATGCCAATAGCTCTAACAAATAGGATAAGGGACAGAATGAGAAGATACAGTCAGAGAATGAAAAGAAAGAAAAGGCATGAGATAATGGATATTCTTAGTTGTTAACACCAGTAAAATGTCAATGGTTCTAACAAGTGGGATAAGGGACAGAATGAGAAGATACAGACAGAGATTGAGAAAAGATTAAAGGCACAAAAATAATGGATAACCTGAGTTATTAATGCCAGTAAATTCCCCATGGGTCTAACTAGTGAGATAAGGCATAAAATGAGAAGATATAGTCAGAGTGAGAAAAGAGTAGAGGCATGAGATAATGTATAATCTAACTTGTTAACACCAGTAAAATTTCCATGGGTCCAACTAGAGAGATAAGGTAGAGAATAAGAAGATAGAGTCAGAAAACCTTGAGATCAGAGATCTTGTGAGTTTAACTTATAAGGTTCAATTTATCATCCCACAGTTGTGTCACTGTTTTCAGACAGAACAAAACTCAGCTGTGTCTTTCTTTTCTGTAGAACGTAACTAAAAATTGAGAGGTGCCTGGTCCTGGGGAACAGCTATTCATGGCAGTATCTCCCTCATTGCACTAAAAAGGTGGGGTTTGTAGTAATATCAATACCAGCATAACCTACAGTTACAGGGGCTGGGCAATTTTTGGATCTGGCTTCAGGCTTCCCACATAAAACTACCTTGTGTTGCATCCTGCCAGTATGGAGCAGTGGGTAAATACCAAGAAGATACAGTTAGAGAGAGAGAGAGAGAGAGAAAAGCAGAGGCATGAATACAATTTTAGTTATTATCACCAGTGAAATTCTCACAGATTCAATTTGAATATTGAAATAACCACCCTAAAATAAAATTCCAGCTTACATAATATTTGTCATATTCCAGCTTTTGCATATGTGTATTACCATCATCACCAATAATCTGCATTATGTCTGGAATGGCTAGTTCCTAGAAAAAAAGAAAAACAAGAATTACTCAGTACAGGAATTATTTAAGACAACAGAGATTAGCAACAACAATCCTAAATAACCTGAACTGGTTCAATCATTGCATAGAGTAACATCTTTTTGAGTAATGATTACTATATTTTTCCAATAGTCAAATTGGAAAAGTTTGGTCTCTGATTGCTATAAACAAATATCCATTGTTTACCTTTTATATACGTTGGTGTTAAAAAGTTCTATAACAACAGAATATCTCATCAGTAAGTAGGAGATATCAGGTTGTATAATAAATGGCAAAATAGAAGATAACAATTGACATTGCATTTAAATTTTTGAAGATCAAAGCTGGAAAGCAAGAAGCCAGAAGAGAGTTCCACAAGCAAGAAGTTCTAAAGAAGCTGTTAGCATAGAACTTACAGTTACATCTCACAATTTCAACTGAAAAATGATGAGACCTTGCCACCAATCTAGTACTGCACCTAAATTCATAAAGTCTAGGTACCAAAGAGTAAAGCTCATCAGAACAATTACCATGAAGTATTTATAGAAAAGCATAGGGAAGCTACATTATGGCACTGGGAAAGTGACTGAAGCCAAAATGCCAGATGACATTGCAGATTCTTCTTTGTATTTTATCAAGAATCTCTAAATATATAGCAGAAGCACCAGATCATATGTGGCAGAAATATTCAATGCATGGATGAATGGTAGACTTATAAATGTGTAAGATAGATTCTAGAAAGAAAAATTGTCTAGCATTACACAGTGAACCACTTTTCCTAGCAGTAGACCTAGGTTTCAATATATTTAGAATATATCCAGAGAAGACAATGCTTCCTTACTTTCTTCAAAGCTGACTATTGCCCACCTTGCCAAAAAAAAGTTTCAAAGACACAAAATTAACGAAATAGCCTCTCTAGATATTAATCTGGAAAACAGAAAACTAGTAATCGATCATTCATATGGGAATGGAAAAAAATGTTCAAGCAAAGAAGATCTTTGAGAAGCAATAAAAACTAGTGCAAGTAATGCTGAAAGGGTAGAAAAGTTAATAAAATCAATAAATGAAAAACTGATTAATATTATAGAATGTCAAGAAACCTTCCTATAAACCATCAGGGTTTTAAGAGCACCACATGTACTACAGCCATAGATTTTTTTCCTTCTCCTAGACTGCTTGCTACCCAAGGCTAGAAAACACAATCTGCCTTGCTATTAACCCCAAGCTGGGGCAAAAAGTGATGGATTCTTACTTTTCCAAGAGTATTTGTACAAAAGCAGATTTAACAACTTTTACTGGAAATTGAACTTGGCATGACATTCCCATTTTTCATGTTGATAACCATTACACTATGTGCACATCTATATAGTAACCTATATTAACATGTAAAATAATAAAATAATAATTTATTGAGTTATATGGGATGTTGTGTTATATATATCTGTGGCCTTTATCTTTTATTAGTGTTGCATGTTGGGATTGTTTTCCTTAAGGCTGATATTATCAAAAAGTCCTTAGAGTAACAGTAGAAAAGTTAATAAAATCAATGAAAGAAATACTGATGAAGGTTATAGAATGTGAAGAAAGCCATATAAACATGTAAAATAATAAACTAAATATATTCAGGAATATGGAATAGTGTGTTAATCAAATATCTCTATCTATAAAAGGCAGGATGTGTGTGTGTGTGTGTGTGTGTGTGTGTGTGTAACAAATGTACGGCCGCAATTTTTGACAGATTTGCACCAAAATTTACATGCACATGCTCCAAGTTAGTAGGAAGGCCAAGATCGACTTTGCATTTCCCAACTCCCATTGATAGTGAAAATTGATTTTTTCATACTTCTACAGCAGTTTTCATGTAGTTTGCAGCCATTTTCTATTGACCAGAGTGAGAGCCAATAGCTGGCTGCCACGAATAGGCAGGAAGATTCTATTCGCCACCGTGAGAGCCAACAGCTGACTGACATGAATGTTAACTAGCATGCTAGCATACAAAAAAAATTGATAGCTGCATTCATCACAAGTGGGAAAAATTTAAATCTGCATGGCACTTTACTCCAATTGGCTCATTCGCTTGCTTAAACTCAACGTTGATTCTGATTCCGCAGAACTGGGCTGGGTGTGAAAAAGTATTTATTGTTAACATTCTTTTTCATTCAGTTTTCCAGTTACGAGTCCTTTTTAAAGCTGATTGTTTTGTGTTCATTTTGTTTAGTTCTTTTTTCATAACAGATTTAATGTTTAGTATAGAGCTTAGGAAAAAATTTGCAGTGTGAGATAGGCAAGAAGTAAGGCATGGAAGCAACATCAGCATGGCAAAGGGCACCCTTTAAAGGCAAGGAAAGGCAAAAAAAATATTTTAAGTCAAGGATAGCATTGCTGTATGAGTTGTACGATTTTTGAATCAAGCACGGGTAACGCCAGGCCATGCTGCTAGTGTGTTTCTATGGCTGATATCCTTTGGATTGCATTTTTAAATAAAACTTAATGTTGCATTTTGCCTAATAACACATGACACTCCTAAAAACAAATCATTATTAATATTTTTAATAAGGATAGATAAGTTGAAACTTATATGACACATTGCTCATATAAAAATATCCTGAAAATTTTACCAACATCAGTTGGTTAATACTAACTTTATTGTGAAAATATTGACTTATTGATAAAATCTGATGTAGTGTATATTAGAATTTTCATTCTAATGATTACATAATGAGTAGAATAAAAAATTCTGACAACAAAGAAAAATCAATACAATAGTCAGGGTTGTGATACAGTTATGACTTTATTTCAAGATTTGGACTATTTTTATCACTGCCCACTGACTTTACTGCTACTCCAACACTTCCTCATTTAGGTTTAGTAATTTTCTACACTGCCAGACTAAATATTTCAGGCAGTAAAGAAAAAGATTTATGATTAAGCATTGAATTTTACAATTTTGATTTAAAATTTTTATCAGTTTTTTTTTCATTCAGACTGAAAAAGGTACCTTGACATGGAATAATGGTTAGTAAGGCTTGTCTGATTGAACATTACTACTAAGTAGTGATTTTGATCCTCACTGGGTGCACCATACAAGATTTAACATTAAATAAGTCAACAAGCATTGATATGTTATAAAACCAACCAACCAACAAACAAACGAAACAAAACTTTGCACATTAGAAAAAATTGGGAAAGAAAGAGATTCATAATTAAATTGTATTTATAATATAATTTGTATAAATTGTATTTATAATTGTTTTGTCATAAGGCTTTACTACAGAAATGTATTACAAATAATTTTTTATGATTAATATATATTGCAAGGAGACTTCATAATAATTTTATTACATTACGAATAATTTTACTATAGAAATGTAGTATTATAAATATGTTTTTAAGATTAATATGTGTTCTAAATAAATTTGATAATTTTATTATATTAAAATAATTTTACTCTAAAAATGTATTGCAAATAATGTTTACTATAGAAATGGATTAAAATTAGGAAGAAAGGGATTGTCAGTGTCCAGGAATTAATTCAAGCATTACTGACAGAATAGGATTATTACAGGAATAATTCTTTTATAATAATCATATTTTTTGATTAAGGTAGATGTAAGTGTGGCATTACTGAAAAGATATAAGGACTTTATGAGAAGGCCATTATCTCCAGTGAACTCAACCACCATCAGTAGGAAAACAAAATCTGTTGCCAAAATGACATGGCAGTGCAAGATCTATCAGGTAACATTCCTTACAGAATAAAGCCACAAATAAAGAACATAAGAAAAGTAGCTCCATAAATTTGGAGTCTCCACTGGCTGCCAGGCCCTCTTCTGCAACCAATGTTTTAAAACATACTTTACCCACATGAGCCTCACCAACCATTTAAAAATCTTCAACAGATATGGAAGAACTTCATGAATCTTCCTCTAAATAATTGAGAATTGTATAATGAATACCATGCAATGAATTTATTATAATAACATAATATGTGCAAAAATAAATATTTAATATTTTCGCATCAGTATGTCTTCCTTCCAGTTTTACCTCAGACATCAATGGTATTTGAGTTTTAGAATCTTCTTTTTCAGATAAAGCAATTGCCATTTGCTCATCACTTTCTTCTGGTTCTGATGAGCCAGTTGATATCTGTCCTTCTTCCACCTCTGCTTCTTCTTCTCCTTCTTCTTCTACTTCTTCCTCTTCAAGTATTAGACTCTCCTCTGTTGCTGAGAACTTTTCTGTAATTTTCTCTTCTAAACTTTCCCCAGATTTCGACTGGATGTCTTCTTTTAAGGTTGTACTTGAAATGCTCTCTTCTTGGCTGATTATAATCTCTACCTGAAATTTATAAAATGACACTGAATTACTATATTTCCATAAAATATGATCCAGTGTATTATACAACATCCTACTTATGCATTTAAACTAATCCTCAATTTAGGTATGAAATAATCAGTTTTCAGTTTGCACAATATATTATCCTTTTCATAAAATTATTTTAAAAAACTGTTAAACTACAGACATAGATATATGGCTGCTTAAGAAAAAATAAAAATTTTAATTTTTCTCAACATTAAAAGTTCACCCAATGCAAAGCACAAAATTCACTCAAGGTAGACAGTTATTGATTTAGGTATAAGATATGAATGTAGGAAGAAGTGGTAAGAAATGAAGATTATGAAGATACTGGGAATAGATAATGACTGACCCTTAACTTAAAGAGGTTAAAATTGTAGTGTCCACATGGGAGTCTGTTCTACAAAGTAGCAGTTCTTTAGAAAAAAACTGTCTGAATAGAAGTTCCTCCTTAAAAATTAGAATATGGAAGAAATGAGGGTGAGTTGACTCCATGGACATAGGATGACTTGTCCTAACTGCAAAAGTCTGAATTGGTGTAACTAAAGAATCAGGGTCATCTGAAAATCTGCCATTGAAATAGTGATAGAGTAGTGATAGGTTTGTGATATTGCATCTATGGGAAAGAAGTTGCAGGGTGGAAAATAAGTCATCTCCATGTAAATGATTTTGAACTCTCAAAATAAATCTACTAGATATATATACATGTGAACAGGGTAGTAATAAGAAGTAAATCAACATTGCAAGTTATTCTAGCCAAGAAAAATCAGAGGATCTATTTTAGCATCGACCATTATATGTAGCCTTTAGTTCATTGATAAGATTAAGAAAAATTTTCAAAATATTACACTTATGTCCAATGTGAATTCCTCATTTTGACATTTGATTCTGAAATAAATTTTACAGTAGTAAATATGATAGTTATTGAGTATTCTAAAAATAATATATGCCCTCTTTTTTTAGCAATTGATATTTTTATCAATTGTAGGGAGAAAGATTTGTATCAGGTTAGGCTTACTATATGTTCCGGTTTGATTGGGTCTGTTTCAGCGTCCTGCTAGAGATATAAACTGTAAGTAATATCGTTGTATAGTTTTTGTAGGGATTACCTCCACCTTGTCTGCCAAGACACCTGCTAGGCGGCACTGTTCAAGACTATATAAGAATGGACCAATAAACCCCCTTCCTCCCTTTTTCTCCAAAATGTAGTAGCAAAAACAACAGGACTTCTCTCCACTAGGGTAGATTTCTTCTCCTAGCATGCAATCTTAATTTCAGCCATCCATGTGATATTATTGCATGCACACACATTTTTTAACAGCAAAACCTATAAATGTTTTTTTTCCCTTTTTTTCAGTATGCACAAGTATATTTTCTCTTTTCTTGAATTAGTCTTTATATATGTATGTAAAATTCCTCCATGTGTTGAAATTTCTTTCTTTTGAAAATGTTGAATTCAATTTCTTTGAAAGTTTTCCTCTTCAGCTGTAACAAATAGTAACTCTTCACACTACAAACTAGTGGCTAACAGCAACCTCGTTTAATACAATTTATAGCACACATTACTGTCTTTTCTTTATGCCAACCCAGAATCTTAAAGAGTGTTGAATCAAAACACTATATTATGAAAGAACCTAAATCTATAATAAAAAAAACTGTCTTGATTTGCATCTTGGAAATTATGTTAAAACTGAGCAGAAATTACCTTCATTTGTGCTTCCTAAGTTTCCATGTGCTGAGTATTTACAAAAATATCTAGATAACTGACTAAAATCTTTATGTGTTCTTCTCAGATTAGCATGAAATTAATCAATATTGATTAATTGATTGATTCATTTTCTATGGATTATCAACCCTTTGCATGTTATTTAGAGCCAAAAAATATTTTTAGACTATAAATTTTTTTTTTTGAGATAATAATGATTTAGTGATATAAGTCCTATTAATTAAGCTATAGCTGGGGGAGAGAAGAGGTGGATTCATACCTTTTCCAAGGGTATTTGTGCATAAGTGAATATACCAAACCAAACTGGAATTAGAACTCTGGTCCCTGATTACCAATTCTGAGCAATATCCATTACACCAACTTCACATCCAAGCTTACAGCACCTGGTATTCCCAAGTGGTCACCTATCTAGGTACTGACCACGGTCAATTTTTCTTAACTAAGTTGATTGTACAGGAAATGGTGTTTCAACAAGATGTGGCCATAAGCCTAAATTAATCAATAGATGACCACTTGAATTAAAAAAATAAATTTTCAGATCTATTCTTTGCTGCCTAAGCCACTCAAACAGAACATAAGGTGTCTAGTATAAATATTACATCAGAGGGCCTGCTTTACGGCTGAGATAGTTCCTGCCAATACCAATGGTCACTATTCAAGCATCCTACTCATCTCTATACTTACTTCACCCTTTCCCCTCCCTGATAATCTCACTCAGTAATTCTTTATGTTGAATGGTCCCTGGGCCTTGTATTGGGTGAACTAACAGTAAAAAAAAAAAAAAAATTAAAAAAAACGAATTTTAAATACTGATTTTTTCTAGGTAAGCAGTCTCTCCCCAGTTGGAAGAAACCCTATTCCCCCCCTCTATAACTTTGAACACTCCTTAACTTAGTATAATAAACATCAGTATCATATTAAGTCTCAAGTATGAAATTTAATTAATTTGCAAATAAAAGTTTTCTTTTGATCAATTGATAAAATTGATTTAGCATATTTAGCAGCATATAAGATGTATGTTTTCTTTAAAAAAAAATGATTTAAAAATCACCCCACCTCTAATAATGTCCCCCAACACTTATTACTCTAGGCAATAACCTATGCTTAGTCCAACACCATAATAGCATTATTTACTCTTCCTCCTCCTCCATCATCATCAATGTCATCGATATTGTCAGTACTGTAAAAGGAATTATTTAACAAAGTACCAGTGACATGTGTCAGTACCAGCTGATACATCATGCCTAAATATACCACCCACACACTCATATTATTAATCAACTAGAAGAAATATAACTGAATACTGATAATGGTAAAACACTACTCTGTGTAACATAGTAACATAACATTAAGACCACAGAGAAATATGTCTGTCAGATGAAACATCCAAAGAAAAATGACTAGTGAAGAGGTAGGTGTGTTTACATCTGGTGGTACCAGTAAATACAATACCAACTATACTGATTGAGTTTACAGAATTTTAGCTTCAAAATATGGATGCAAGTGGTAAGAGATTAAGCTACACTATTAACTACAAACTACAATTGATAGATTAGTTTAAGGAGAATCGGAACAGAGCAACAGCAAGAGTTTTTGGCTTAACTTTTGAAAAAATGATATGTGGCTGACAACAGTAAAAAAATCAACTAAAGACAAAATTTTCATTGTCCAACCCTACATTGGCCCAAACTTTCAAATGACATAAAAAAAATGGGTGGTAGATCAGAGGAATTCAGGTAGGAGTGTTTCTACAAGGAGATTAGCAGAAGAAAAGATTCAGAGCTTTGCAGAATCAGAAAGTTTGTGTTACCAGCTTATGAAACAGCAGGTTTTATCAATGCATACAAAAAACATCTGTTGCACAGGAAATGCCAGCTGATTATGAAGAAAAAATATTAGGATTTCATAAATTTGTTCTAAATGCATGAAAGCAAAGCTGATTTGAACTGGGTTAAATAAGGAACATGAACAAAGTTCCACTAACATTTAATGTACTAGCGGACAATATATAAAAATCTCTTTTCCTAAATATACCCTGCTGAAATAATGGGGTGTCTAATATGCGTGTGTGTTTTTTATGGTATCAAATATGATATAAGTACTTGTCTGCCATGTAAAAATCTGTTATCTCTTTTCCTTCCTCCTCATCGAATCATCCTCAAATGAAGTCTGTTGAATGGTTAGATTCAGTAATTGTAATGTTTTTCAGTTACATTCTATTGAACCCAGTAGAATTAGCAGTCACAACTTCTATTAAAGATTATAGTGTCTCATTTTTAGAGATTTGCTTGCTGTTGACATTGACATTCCTCCATCAAGCAGATGAAAAACGTGATCTGAAACCACAGTCTCTCATTGTAAACACCACCATCTTTAACCAATTCCCTGCATTCCAAAGGTGGAATTCTTTCAGGATTTACTCCTGCAAATCTTACAGAATTCTGTGTACCCAAGTGGTTTCTGAAATAAGTATTGACCAGTTGGTTTAACTTAACAGGTGCTTTCAGCATGATATGGCTATAAACATCAAAAATTTGTTATTTACCTTAACAAGTTTTAAAAAAGTACAATATAGGAGTTGGAGTAAAAAGCCATAAAATAACCTGCTAAATGTGTGTTTAAGTTTAAGTTCTATTGTTGAATAAAATAACTTCACTTCCAATTTCTACTCAGGTGTCAAATGCAAGGTAGATTAATGAATTAATCCATTTTTCATTCAACAAATATCTCACCTGTTTCTCTTGATCAGTACTGGAGATCAGAGGTTCTTGCTCTGACTGTGAATCTTTGATTGCTGCCCTCATTTGATCTGTATGAGACAGGTTATAGTCAGGGAAAACTTCTGATATTGGTTTTTGGAGAACTTTGGCAACAAGTAACTGAGCTGTATCCATCCATTTACTACATTCATTCTGAGAAAAAGATTTTTATAAAATGTAAATATAACATCACAGAAAGAATATTTGGCAAACATGGATAAATATGCCTGCAATAAGACATACTGTCAATAATAGTTTTTTTCCTGACACCACTTTTTTAACTACCTTCACTCTTTGACAATGTTTATTGTTTTAAAAAGTGATGATTAGATTTGGAATAAAACCTAAACACATGATGGAAGTGAATTTATACATTTTCTTTGTCCTCAAGAATAGACAACAAAAATCATAAACATTATTAAATTGTAGAGGGCCCGTGGTGGTTACGGTTTGTTGAGGGTTCATGGCGTGGCTGTCATGTTGTTGATAGAAGTCAGACGTAGAAGAAACGCAAGGTTCAGATACTCCTGCCCGCCGAGCCCAACTACATAAAAAGGTTGGACTTTGATTAAGTCCAAAGAAGAAGGAAAAGAAAGCAAACAAAACAAGACCGATAATATATGTATACACAAATATATATTCATAACAAGTTACAATACAGGGAAACAGTACAAAGGGCGAAGTGTGTGTGAATATTCTGTATGTGCATGCGTGTGAATATTCTGTATGTGCTTGGTGTGTGAATATTGTGCTTAGCATGATTCCACGCTATTCTTGTTAGCGACTACATTTGAGGTTGATAGTTGAAATCCTCTAGGAATAAGAGAAATTTACCTCGAGGTGTTAGTGCACAGGCCTGAAAGGAAAAAAGAGATCGAGGCGAAGGGTCATTGGCTATTTATAGCCAGGAAAGAGAGACCCCTGGTGAAAGGGTTATGAACTGAAGGAGGAGTTAACTCTGACAAAATTGTTTATTTACCCTATTTATTTTATTATATTATTTATTGGAATGGTTGGCAAAAGATCGGCTAATTGTCAATTCAAACTTTATAAAATGACAAATAATAAGGATTTCCTAATAGTTGGTTCACATATTTTAATAATTTAGTAAGTGTTTATAAATTTATGAATAAAATATTTTCACTTTTATTTCTTTATAAATGATAAATCACATTAGTTCTAATTCAATTGTATTAGATTTTAGAATGTTGTAAACATGAAATTATTCTTGTAAATAATAAATAGTGTTTAATATTTTTTTTTAAATTCTCAAGAACAAAAAAAATGCATAAATTCCCTTTCATCATGTGTTTTGATTTTATTCCAATTCTAATAAATAATTGCTTTTTAAAACAATAAATTTTGCCAAAGAGTGAAGGTAGTTAAAAAAGCAGTGTCATGGGAAAAAAACGTCCTTTTTACATTACATCTTATTACAGGCACATTTATCCCTGTTTGCTGAATATTTAGATTTTGGTAAATTTTCAAAAAAATTAATGAATACATCCAGTATGGATAACATCTTCATCACAAAAGATACTGGTTATAAATATGGGTATTCAATAATTATATCTTTTGTGTTGAATTTGGCTTTGTCCAGCAACTATCAAGAATCTAGTTTCATGGCAAATTGAGAATCACATTCTAACAAAATAGTTTTTAAATTGATTTGTATAGTTTTATCTTCCCTTACATAATTTTAGCTTATAAGGCTCACTTTAGGTCTGATTGTTTATCCTCTGTGATATTTCATTGAGTAAAGAGAATTGGCATCTGTTATTTCTTCTCTAAGTATCATTTAGCAAACAACACTGAGTTTTTCCAATCAGGTAGGAAGGAAGAATCCCTGGCCTGATAGAGACCTAGACAAGAAATTATTTTTCTTTGACTACTATTGTGACATGTCAGTGACCAGGCCATAGCAAGATGACTGGTAACTGGACAATGGACTGTATTAAATAAGGTTGGATTTATGCCTTTCCCAAGAATGTATGCACAAATATAATGTGTGGTACTACTTACATTGACTGGTCACAACATTTGACAGAATCAAAAAATATTGATTTTTTAACATTTTAGAAGGGAGAGGTCTTGTTTCTAATATAAACACAGTGTCAAATCGGTCTCAGACTTCTTAAAGAGTTATATGTACTTTGTTATTATTTACAAATGTCAAGTTTGAAACAGTGATTATGTCATTAATAACTGTGTATGACTATGAATTAGTAAAAAGGACATCACCAGTACTACAGTTATCAATGATGTAAGCACAGTTTCAAACTTGACATCTGTAAATAAAGACAAATACAGATATCTCTTTAAGAAGTCAAGGATTGATTTGACAAAGATACACATTTGCACATTGGTATATATTGAGATGAAAACACTGTTTCAGATCATGCTAAAAGCAAAACATAGAAAATATATTAATACATGAAGAAGGCATTAAACCATATATGCTCTACCTAGAAAATGTTGTATTTAAAAAATTCCTGTGATAAAATAGGGGAAAAAAGGAGGAAAAATACTTTTTTTTTATAATTCATAATATAAAATCAACATACCTAGTAACTTTTTTGAAGTACCCAGCCAAATTAAGATTTTAAGAGAATTGACTTTTAATTTTAAAGAGTTAATATCATTACTGGGTTAATTTTCTTCCTCTTTCCCCAATTAGTATGTATTGTGCTTGACTGATCATATGACTTTTAACAACCAGTCAGCAAAGCTTCTCTGTAGAGACACAGTCTTCTAGTAGATACCACCAAGACAAGATGTACCCTAGGATTCATAAGTAGAGACAGCCCTTTGCAACATGATGTGCTGAACTTGTGAGTAAAGAGCTTTTGTAAAAAAGCTAGTTTTCCTTTTCAAGGTTAGAGAGAAGGTATGAAACACATTTTTTTTACATTATTAGCATGCTCTCTTTCTAGAAAATACATACTTCATTTACATTATTCTAACTTCTTCCTAGCTGTCTTTATTTTTTATTATAAACTAGTGTACCTGTGTCATCATAAATGATGGCTTATTTTTTATCCACCACAGTTATGTTGTTAATAATTGGCTTCAGTGAACAGAAGATTATTTATTCTATGAACTCTGTTTTGTGCATTTCTTGCATTTCTCATGGTACCAGTTTTTCATTCCTTCTTCTATTATGTTGCTCTTTAGTTTCTTGTCAAAGAAATTCATCCATTTGCATTCTCATATTTTCTCTTATGCATTAGATTCCTCTGTTTCATTTTGAATCCTTTCAGCTATACATTCTCTCACAGCAGCTTTTCTTGCATCAGCTTCTTCCTCTGTTTCTTTTTGTCTTCTTTGCACTGCTCTCTCTCTCTCTCACTCTCTCTCTCACTCTCTCTCTCACTCTCTGCTCTCCCCCTATTATCCTCTTCTTCTGTCTCATTAGTTTGCCTCTGAACAACATCTCCTGGCTTGTGCTCTTATTGCTTCATGGCATTTGTACAATGCCTGTGAATATCTTTGCCTATCAACCTCCTGCCATGCCTGTATCTGATCCTTTCTTCTTTCTTCAAGGGAATTTCCCATTTTATAATATTCACTGGACAAAATTTTCTTAAATGCACAAAACAATATAAAACATAAGGAATTATTTAAAATTGATTCTACATTTATAGAGTAAGTTTGTGTTGAATCTTGGATGCCAATGCAAAACTAGAATGTATTTAAATAATATGAGAACTTGTAATTTCACATACAAAATTATTACTAAATTTATCTCTTAAAATAGTTATTCAATTATATATTTAGAGGGTAAAAGTGTATTGAATCTAGGATGCCATAATTCACATATTCAGATAAAATATATAATGACTGATACATTTTCTGTGGCAGTGTTAATAACAACCCTGTGATATATTGAATTGAAAGTAATTGCAACTTGTAAATAAATGCTTATAACAACTGCTTGTATTTCAGTCTGTCTTGTTAGGTCCTCAGATGAGACAGGAAATATATAAGTACACACTAATGATAATTATTATATGATTTGATTGATGTCAAAATTCTTTATTTTATCTACTGTTATCAAGAAAATATTTGTATCTCCCTTTATGAAAAAAATATAAAATTATCTCACTTTATCAAATGGGACAGGAAATATATAAATAAATACACATCGATAATTATTACATGGATTGATATTCAGAAAATTATCTGTTTTTGACAGCTAGATTCTGCTGAGACTGCCCAGCAGCATGATCTACTGCAAGAGTATTGTCTGTAATTTTAAGAAGAGTCACTATTATATCCAACTTTGTTTGGATGTTCAAATCTCCTGTTTGTTTGCTTTTGGGAGTTGAAAACTTCCTTTTTACTCATGGATTGCACCTGACAAGCACTGAAGAATGGATCAGCTAAAATGCTAACAATAATAGAAAGACTGGATTAGTGTGTATGAACAAAGTTGGCAAGAGCATTACAAAATAGGCTGGAATGATGCTGGAATATATTTACCTGCATTCGATCTATGTCAGCACTTCCATCTCCATAGCCTTGCTCTATTAGTTTGATACGTGCGCTGCAGAAAAATGTGTTATTTGAAATGAACATTCAATGTGACATGGCAACAGAGATGAAGGAAAAAATAAGACACAGTATATTAAAACTAAAAAGATGATAAACAGAAAATTAGAAAAAACACACTATGGATTATAGAGTCTCATTATGGCAATTTTTTCTGTTTTTGTTATGTACTGATTTAATTGGACTAGTGTCCTCATCTTGGGGGCTGTACCCTCTTGCCTTTTTCAAGTGTTTGTTATAGTTGGTCACCTTCTGATAATGTTGAACTTTATGGTATCAAATACAATGGATACCTAAAGAAGGATAATTTTAAAATAGATAAAATTAGAAAGATAATATATAGTGAATTCAGAAAACTAAATTTAAAAACTACAGACAATACTAAATTAAAAAGGGTAAACTTCCTCGACATAACTCTAGACTTAATGAACAACATATACAGAAAACTTAACGCTAATCCCTTGTATGTACTCCCTAAGTCAAACCACCCTCCATCTATAATTAAGCATATACCCACATCAATAGAGAAAAGAATCAGCATGAACTCTGCTGATAAAGAAATATTCCAACAACACAATAATTTTTATAACACAGCTCTAAGAAATAGTGGATACAAAAACGCTAACATCAATTATAGAAACAATAGTACTAACCTGAAGAAAAACAGGAAAAGAAAAACCATTCAGTATACCCCCTCAGTTCAACAAAATGGCTAGTATTAAGCTAGGACATAAGTTCTTAGCTTTAATTGAAAAACACTTTCCTACTAATAGCAGACTTAGCAAAATCTTTAATAAAAACACATTAAAATTAAGTTACAGTTGCATTGAAATTCTAGAAAAAATCATAAAAAAAACATATTATGTTTTTTTATGATTCTTTCTAGATTTTCCTGGAAAAACCCACATGCCAAAACAGTATTAATAAAAATCCTAAACTAAAATTAGACAAAAATAATGAAAAATTATGTGATTGTAGAAACCCTGAAGACCGCCTGTTGGAAAAGAAATGCCACACAAAATCTGTGGTATACCAATGCACTATCTTATCCATTGAGAGGCCTAACACTGAAAGGATATACATTGGTTCAACAAAGAATGAATTTAAAATTAGATGGAGACAACACAAAAGCTCCCGCAATAATATTAGAAATAGAAATCAGATATCCCTATCGAAATATTTTTGGCATTTAAAAGAAATGAATAAAACACCAAAAGTAAAATGGAAAATAATAAATAGAACAAGAACTTGTAAAACCTGGGATGACCCATGCCCTTTATGCCTACATGAAAAACTACACATTATCAAGTTTCTAAATAATGAAAATTTATTAAACCATAGACATGAGTTAACAGTTTTTTGCCAATATCAACAAATTTTTGCATTAAATAATTAGCATAAAAAAATAAAATTTCATAGTCTAATAAAAGGTTTAAAAGCTTAACCCAATCATAAGATAGAAAAACCCTTTATGAAGTTGTCAAAAAAACAAATTGTAGCTCAGTGTGATGTGTTTATGTACAAAACAGCCCTTTAGAGAAAAAAAAAATTCTTTAGACACTTAATGACGTATGATGGTGCCAACAGCTATCTGTCGCTGTGACGGACGAGACGATGTGCGTATATGAATGCCATCATTCACTTTGAAATGGATGTCCCAGCTTGACCTCTTTCCGAAGGTGACTGATATGTGGATACAAATTATTAACTCTGATGCTCCTTATCAAAATTTTCGCTCCAACTGTTTCCATAGTAATTACTTTTATGAATGAACATGCTTATAAAGATGTGCAAATTTCAAGATTGGTTATTCCTAAATTTTCACTTGAGGATGAAACAGGGGTTGATACTTTAATTCAATTTAATTTTAATAATTATATTGAGGTTTTTGGCTCTTGTTTTTGAAACATGAGAACTCTTATGTAGCAAAGGAATCATATTTTTTTTAAAATAATTATAACTTAAGCTCTACTTCTGTATGGAGCATTGTTTTTTTAAAATAAAAACAAAAATGCTAAAGAACTCCAGATTATTTACCTAACATGTTCTTTCCTATTTTTCTATATATTTGCACACACACACACACACCCATATATATATATATATATGTATATATATATATATATTCATTTTAGCTAAAAATACTGATATTACTCAACTTAAAATTAAATTTGAAAGTCACTTCGTCCTCAAATTTACATTAGAAATTAATATTAATAATAAAATTCCATTCCTTGATGAATTTATTGATTCCAGCACACATAAATTTACTAATTCTCTATATAGAAAACCAAGTAGCATTAACTCATGTCTTCTTAATAATAATAATGAATTCCCCCAATGATATAAGTTAGCTGTTATAAAAACTTAATCCAATGCACACAAATGATATCTTCTTCCAAAACTATATTCTATAAAGAATTACATAACATTAAACAAACTTTATTAATAATGGATTTCCTAATTCCATCATTGATCAACAAATTAAAATGTATCTCAATAAACTTAATAATACCTCTAACAAAATTGATAATATTAATAAGAATTGTAACCATATAGGGTATGTTAAAATAAACATAATACTATTAACTTATACTATTGTAACTAAATGCATAATAATTACAAACATGATGAAACAACACTCAAAAACATAATAGGTGGAAATGTTAAACCCATTAGTAATAATAATTAAACAAGTTAAGCTCATCATATATTATAAAAAATTTAAAACAATTGACCTCATAGTCTCTAATAATCCTACAAGCACACAACTAAATCCTCTACAAAAAACCAATATAGTGTATCAGTTTACATGCCCGTTCAGAGATTGTATCTCTGATACTAATAATAAACCCACTATATATATTGGTTTTACCACAACCATACTCTCCCATAGACTTAGCTAACTTAGTTGAAATGTCTATATAACCACTCTGATGATGCCTCATATGAGCTGAAAGCTTAGACTGAGAAACAGCATGATAAAAAAAATATCCAAATGTTGAACAGTTTTTATATATATTTTCTCTCGAATATATATATATATATATATATATATATATATATATATATATATATATATATATATATGTATGTATGTATGTATGTATGTATGTATGTGCATGTGTGCTGTTTATTAAACCTTATTGTTTATTATTGTTCATCTCTTCATTGCAGTTTCAATACATAACCCAGGCATTCTCAATTGATAATTATTTAATACAAGAATATGAGTTTGATCACACCAGCTTTCTTGCTGCTGATACAGTGTAAACATGGCAACTCTGCTAGCTTTGTACACCAAAGAGAAACAAAGAACAGTGATCCTATGGTATTTTGCCAGGATATTCCTGGTATTTATTTTATCACAAAATTTGGAATAAACGAAAATAAATAATAATAAATAAATAATTTTATTTATTTGATTTAGATTAGAGTGGGTCCTTTGATATTTGAGTTAACAAAATGTTTGTTTCTAAGACAGATCTTTGCAGCAGTTCAGAGAAAGTTTGTTTTGACTTGGTAGTGGGTAGTTTTGACAGTTGAGAAGTCAGAACTTGACAGTAGTAGTCATTTTAGAAATTGGTCAGTGTCAATCTACTGTGTTTTTCTCAGCTCTTAGAAGGGCAGGTTATAACATTAGTAGATGACCTCTTAACTACTTCACATGTCACATATGGCTGATGGTAGCATCTCTTCTCCATGATTTCTTTTGCCATCCCTTCTCCTCATCTAGCTCAGAGCTGTGAGCTTATATCCTTTTGACCAGGCTCCAAGACTCTGGCATGAATCTTGGTTTCGGCTATCATCAAAAGTCTTTTTGTGTTAAGTTTTTTTGATTGGTCCAAATTATTTTGATTTCTGGCATTCCTTTGTTTGTCATTTTTTTTATACAGCAGAAATGTGTGAAGCCTGTCTTATCTTGGTAGATTTATTGTCATAAATAAGTAGGCTCTGGTCCCACAAACCTCTGGCATTTTTCATCTGGGTATAGTCTTTTCTTCTTCTTCTTCCTCTTTTTATTTGAGGGTTGCCTTCTTGTTAATTGAAAGAGAAGGATAGAGAGAGAGAAAGTTAGAAAAAGAGAAAGAGATAAGGGTTTTAAAGAAAAGCATAATTGCCTTAATTTAATTTGAATTCTTTTTATTTTTGTTTATATATTTTATTTTTGTTTATATATTTTATTTTTATATATTATTTTATTTTTATCAGAACTCACTACAACCTAATTTCTCTGGTCAGAAGGTGTGTCAGGGGATGAAATTCATTGGAAGCTTTTAATACAGTATTGGCATCAGTAGACTACCATGTAGAAGTGCATATGAGTGGATCATGAAATTTAGAAGTAGCTGGATAAGTATGATGCACAAAGAGGAAGCAGGATTCCCATTAACTTCCACCACTGATGAGGAGATTGAGCAAGTTCAAGAGATGTTAAGGGTGAAATGGTGAGTTACATTGATGAGGTAGCATGTTCTCTGCAGATTCAGATCACTGCTTTTTGTTCCTCATTGGTGCAAACCACTAGCAGAGCAGCCATGTTTGCACTGTAAGTGCAGCAAGAAAATTGGTACAATCAAGCTCAAACTTCAATCCCATGACCATAATAGTACCAACTATAAGCATGTATGAGCAGAAGGCAGTGTGACAAACCAAAAGATATGTTATGGCGAATATGTGGATAATTTTTTACTTACCCTCATATATATATATATATATATATATGTGTGTGTGTGTGTGTGTTTATTGCAATAAGATCTGTGAAATAATTCTTTTTTTTAAATTATCTGACACTGAATCAATCTAAGGCAACAAAATAAACATGCTCAGTTATTTTAAAAACACTTTTTGCTTTTTGTTTGTTTTTTTAAAAACATAATTTTGTTGTGTTGCACTTCTGAAAATAATTCAGTCTTTACAAAATGCCTCATTTAATAAAATTTGTCTAAGACAAAGATCATTTCAAAAATAAAGTTGAAATCAATCCTCCATTTTTAAGAAAAGGCAAACACTAACCAAGAAAATAGAATTTGCTAATTTCCTTATAAGTAAATTAATATTTTAAGTAAATGTTTTCCTATATCAAATCAATTTTTAAAAGTAAATAACTTTCATGTATTTTGAGTAATACTTTTTTGTTTCATTTGAAATCTCTAGTACTGTAGGTTCCCTTGCAAAATCTTGGCTATTCCTTATCAAGTACCCAGAGCAATCATTTTTTTCTCTCACTAGTTCAACTGGGTGGAGTCAGTGGCTGTGGAGGTGGTGCTGAAAGAGAACACACACTGAATGACATTAACACACATTGAACAACATTAACCCAGTTTTTTTTTTTTACTTTGTCCCTCATGTCAAGCTCAGCCTGTAAAAAAGGAAGAAAAATTTACAAAGAAGTAACTGAGAAAGAAAGAAACTTACCTCATTGGAGTTTTGTTATCATAGCCAAAGAAATTTGTCATTTGAGTGACGTTAGAAAGGTGCCTAAAATGAATGAAGCAAACAGCACACAAGCAAGAGGTTAGTTGCAAAAATAATAGCTAAGAGACACCCAATACCAATATTAGTTTGGTTGTTTCTTTTTTACTAAGTGTCATATTGCAAACAATCTTTACTTAAAAGTTTTTCAAAGTATTAAGTTGTTGTTTCAAATATTTAAGAAATGAACATTGAGATGTTCAGAATGAAAACAAATATATCAAAAATTAAATAAAATAGGCTTTTTGTTTTCAATCAACCAAATAATTTTCCTGAATGTTTTATATCAGTTCTTGTCTTCATAAAGAATACATTCATCACAAATCACATGGCTTTTCATATTTTCTGCTATTATTATTATTAAAAATTATAATGGAAATGTAGTTGCCTTCCGCTACTTCACAAAAACACATTCTACCAGCCAATCAGAAGCCAGCTTCTATTGGTGCCAAAAAGAACAATTTTAAACTCTTCCTCTTTACTGTTTTGATATGCTTCTGTAAAGACATGTTTTAATCATCTCTGAAGCCGTCTGGTTGGCATAAAAGATACTAGCATTGAATCAAGTTAAATGGATTCTTACTGTAAGATAAGTTGGGCCCCACAAACTCAATTATAATTTGTAAATTCCCCATTTATTTCTTTGTATATGTATGTTTTCTTTAAATCTAGTAATTAATTACCCTTGTGTTTGTTCATCCTTATTGCTTGTTAAATCCTCTCACTTATGTAAATCAATCCATTTTATTTTAATTGGTATCACCCCATGCAAGGCAGTAAAGCCACTAAGACACAAGGGGTTACAGGGTGTGGAAGAATTAGGAATAGAAACATTAATAATGAGCAGGAAGAGAAAAGAGTAATCAGAAGGTCAGTAGATAGTGATTGACACTACATTTAAATTTTTAAAGATTAAAGCTGGCTGGAAAGCATGGAGCCAGAAGGGAGTTCCACAAGCAAGAAGTGTGAGAAAAGCATATTAGCATAGAATTTACGTTTATGTCTAGCCAGCTCAGCTGTAAATTGATAAGATCTTGATGCCAGTCTAGTACAACACTTAAATTTTAAAAGTCCAAGTACCATAGCGACAAGCTCATCCAAATAATTACCATGAAAGTATTTATAAAAAAATCACAAAAAGGCAACCTTATGGCAGTGGGAAAGTGACTCAAGCTGAGCTGCAAATCAGGATCAATAATATTGCTGATTCTTCTTTGGATTTTATCAAGGAACTCAAGGTAAATAATAGGGGCACCAGATCATATGTAGCAGCAATAGTCTAAGCATGGATAAATGGTAGACTTATAGATATGTAAGATAGATTCTGGATGGAAAAATTGTCTCACATAATACAGTGGACCAATTTTCTTATCAGCTGACCTAGCAATGCATATTATATAGATTATAGTCTTTCCCCTTCATTTACACATGAAATTACAACATTATTTATGTAAAATGGAATTTGTAAAAACAAATTGAAGGTTTAATTTATTTTTTATTTTAAAATAACACTACTACCATAGCAACCCTGCTACTTAGAAATGCTGTGATTAATTTGAAACATTTTTAACAGTTAATAAAATTAAAAAATAAATATCAGTGAGCAAATCAATAAAATCATTTGTACATAGGAAACATGCTAAAATAAAATGTAAATATGGTGATTGGATAGAGGAAAAGAAAATGAAAGGAAGTTATATTTAGAATAATAAAGTGTGTATATTCAGAGAAAACGGTGAATATTTCACCCCAAGCAAGGCAAAAAGCCACTAAGATGCAAGAAGTTACTTAGTATGAGAGAATATGAGTAAAAGAAAACATTATTAAGGATAGAGAACAATAAAAGAACAATAGAAATAAGGAAGACAGAAGATAACAATTGACATTGCATTTCAATTTTTGAAGATCAAACTTAACTGGAAAGCAGGAAGCCAGAAGAGAGTTCCATAAGAAAGAAGTGTGAGAGAAGAAACTGTTAGCATAGAATTTACAGTTACATCTAGTCAATTCAATTATAAAATGATCAGACCATTCTGCCAATCTTGTAGTACACTTAAATTCATAAAGTCTAGTTACCAAAGAGGAAAGGTCATCAGAACAATTATCATGAAAATATTTATAGAAAAGGCACAGGGAGGCTATGTTACAGCAGTGGGAATGTGACTGAATATGAGATGCGATATCAGGACATTGCAGATTCTTCCTTGTATTTTAATAAAATACAAAATATATAATTTATGATAATATTATTTAGGTATTAAAGAAAGTGTGGAATTTAATCAAAATCTATATTAAGATGTTTAACCAGTACCTATTTTAATATTATTTTTTGTAAGTCTTATCTTAGCTGGAAAGGTGATATGTTATAAAATCCTACTTTTTGATTAATCAAATTGAATCAGTATCATAGCTGATTCAATAATTCTTCTAGATGATTTATAATGAATAGATTTAATCAATTTGGAATTTTTAAAATGTTTTGAAAAATAGAAAAGGGACATGAGTTTGATCAGAAAAGTATTTCATGCATTTTAATTAAGGCTTGGAGTAAATAAAATGTCTGTTTTTAAGGATGTTTTTACTTTTTAACAAATTAAGTTAGGTGTGACATAAGACAATTTCCAGTTCTTTCATATTTTCATATACCATTATTTGTTGGAAAAATATTTCATAATTTTCATCAGTCTCTTTAACCTTTTTGACATCCCAGAAAACAAATATATCTGTTACTGAATGCTTGCCAATCTTTTTCTTTTTTTTTTAATCATTTCACACCAAGCAAGGCAATAATGCCACTAAGGTGCAAGAGGTTTCTGGGAGTGAAAGAGAATGAGAAGACTTTAGTGAGGAGAAAAGACAATAAAAGAACAATTTTCAGGAAGACAAAAGATTATGATTGACATGGAATTTAAAAGAGAAAAGAAACTATTAGAATATAACTTAGGGTTAGATATAGGTAATTCAAAAGTAAAATGATGAGACCTAGTAGCCAATCTAGTAGTATGCTTAAGTTCATGTGGCTGAGGTACCAGAGGAGAGCTCATTAGAACAACTGCCATGAAAATATTTTTAGAAAAGGCACAGAGGGAAGCCAATGTCATGGCATTGGGAAAGTGACTGAAGTTTAGATGCTAGATCAGAACCAATAATATTACAGATCCTTCTTTGGATTTTATTTTTTTGAGAATCTCAAGATATAGCAGAAACACCAGCCAGATATGGCAGCAATATTCAATGAACAGACAAATGGTCAATTTATAAATGTGCAAAATGGATTCAAACCAGAAAAATTGTCTGGCATGACACATAGAATCAACTTTCTTTTACAGTCCTAGCAAGTGATTTAATATAATCTCTCTATTTTAAGTCAGTAGCAAATGTCAGACCAAGTAGGTGCAATAAGTTGCTCTCCTGGAGGTTAATATCAGCATGGAAAAAAGCTCTCTATGGTGATTAAAAGATAGCAGTTTTGTTTTAGAGGTATTAAACTTTACAAGCCCTTCCTTGCCCCAGTTAACAATAGACTGGAGGTCATTTTCAAGATAAGCTGCCAGTTTTACTTTGTTAAGACAGGAGTAAATAGCTGTCTCATCAGCATAAATACTGAGTTGAGAAATGATGACATCAGGAAGGCCATTGATGAACCTAAGAATGTAAGTCCAAGGATAGAACCGTGAAGAACCCTAGCATTAATGTGAAAGGATATAGAGATGTGGCCATTCAACTCAACCTTCATTACACAATTTAAGAATGATTGGATTAAGCCAAATATCTGGCCAGAGATACCATAGCCCTTCATCTTGTGAAGAAGACCAGCATGCCAAGCCCTGTCAAATGCCTTTTGAGATATCTAAAGCCACAGCCTGAGCCTTGCCATTCTTATCTAAAGCTGGACAGACAAATTCAATAATAATTGTTAACACATTGGTGGTAGACCTAGAGAAATGAGAGCCATATTGCTTATCTGAAAGAAATCTATGTGGAGTTCAATCTATTTGAAGTTGATTAGAGCCTCTAATACTTTGCCAAAATGACTAATAGAATGATAATTCAAGTGATCAGAAGGTTCACCAGACAGGAAGTACAGAGGAAGATTTCCAACAGGCTGGAAAACAAGAAGCAGCAAGGCATTTGTAGTAGAGTTTAGACAGAACAGGAGACAGTTCAGGAGCACATTACCTTAGGACAATTGTAGGAATAAAGTCAAGTCCGCATGCTTTGTGAAATCTAGTTTGGAGATGATAGTGAAAATCATGGATGGAGTTATGTGCATATCACTCAGTAGAAATTCTGTTCTAGGGAGGAAATCAGGTAAAGATACTCCTGAAGAGTTGAGAGTAAAATTGGAAAAGAATTTCCAAGCAAAGCATTTTGCTTTATCATTTCCATGATAAAAAGAAGTATTTCTTAAATTCCAAGACATCAGATATGTAGAATAATATCCTCAAGATTTTGATAGTTATTACACTTGATTAAACACTTTTTGGACATTTTATAGATGTATAAACAATATTTTAAAAATATGGACAACTGACTGAGAAATAGTAGAATATTATATAAAGAGTGACATAGAAATGTGAAGTTTATAATTTAAATGTATTGGCCAGCTGCATTAATCATTATAAATATCATTTTAACATATCTTTCTTGAAAGAAAAACCAAATTTCTACTTAAAAAGATCAGCAAGTTGACTAAGTAAATCTAAAATCAAATTTAATTTTATGATAATGAATGATAATAATTTATGACAATAATGAAATTACAAATGAAAAAACATGTTAAATTATGAGAATTTAAATGTGGTTTTTCAGACCAGCAGAAATTCTGACAAAAATACTCAATAGATATTTAGAGCTATAATATTCAACAAAAATTTAAGTGACTTATCTGATTTGCCAACTCATGAGTTTCACATCAAATCACTCATCAGAGCTGGATGTTTGATAAATCTATTGAACTTATTAACAAATCTCATATTTAGGCTCTTTCATAAAAAAATGAATGT